TTGTATAATCACGTTGTTTGTTGGCTCTGCTTGACTGTTTGCACTCAAGTGATAAGGTGATGATGTGATTCTTTTGATTTTCATGTCTTCAAGGAATTTTGTGACCTTAGAGCCTATAAATTGTGCCCCGTTGTCGTAGGCTATCTTTTTTGGTATCCCAAATCTGCAAATTATTTTCTCCACAGAAAATCTACCACTTCACGCTCAGCGATTTTCTGGAAAGGACCTGTTTTAACCCACTTAAAAAATAGTCAGTTAAAATTAAAAGAGATCTTTCCTTACTAGGGCCCGGTGGCAATGGATCGACTATATCCATTTCCCATTTCATGAATGGTCAGGATGACAAAATCGAGTGCAGTAGCTCTGCCGGTTGATGTATAATGGTGCATGATGTTTACACTTATCGTATTTCTAAACATAAGTCTTAGTGACTTGTTCCATCTGGGGCCAGTAGTATCCTGCCTTAATTAGCTTTAACACTAAGGAGTCCGCGCCTTAATGATTTCTAAAGATCCCTTCGTGGACTTCTCTCATGACATAGTCAGCTTCGGATGCTCCCAAACGTCGGGCCAATGGGCCTTCGAAAGATCTTCTATACAATTGACCCCCCTTGAAGTTGTATCGAGATGCTTTAGTACGCAACACCCGAGATGCCGTGGGATCTTCAGGCAAATTTTCCTGCTCGAGATAGTCAATGATCTTATTTCTCCAGTCCCAGACCAAATTGGTTGCGTTTACTTTGCAATATATGTCTGCATCCAATACCGAATGCATAAGTAGCATGACCGTACCAGAGTCTGGTCCCTTAATTTCCGTGGACGATCCCAGATTGGGTAGTGTGTCTTCCTCCACATTTTTTCTCTCTCGGGATATGGGTAATTGATCATTACCTAAATCATGCGGGCAGAGCCTGAACTTTTACTACATATTGTTGCATGTGTTCATCTTTAGCTTCGAAGATGCTGTAGAACTAATTTACAACCAATTGGGAACCACATTTCATTTTTATGACCTCAAAGTTCAATCCCCGGGCCAGCTTGAGTCCTGCAATCAAGCTTCATACTCTGCTTCATTGTTAGTTAGAGGTACAGTCCTTATGGCCTGCCGTAGGGTTTCCCCCGAAGGCGTGATTACAACCACGTAGAGCCCGGGCCCTTTCACGTTGGAAGCTCCATACGTAAACAAGGTCCAAACTCTTGACGTCAATTCTGACACCATCACTGCTTCTTTGTTAGCCAAAGATAACAGTCCCGGACTGAAATCGGCCACAAAGTCTGCCAAAACTTGTGACTTAATCGTAGTCTTAAGTTTATACTCTATTATTCACTCATTTCGACTACCCATTTGGGCAGCTAACCTGAAAGTTCAAGTTTATGAAGGATATTCTGCAGGGGAAAGGTTGTCACCACGGGTATCAAATGACATTGGAATAAGGCCTAAGCTTTCGAGAGACGACTATGAGAGCTAAGGCCAATTTTTCATAATGTGAGTATCGAGTTTCTGGTCTTGTTAAAATTTTACTAATATAATAGATAGGAGATTGCATACCTTCGTCCTTACATACTAAAACAGCATTTACCGCTACCTCAGAGACCGCTAAGTAAATCAACAATTGTTCCCCTTCCTCCTATTTTGATAGCAATGGAGGGCTCAATAAATATCTTTTCAAATCCTTCAAAGCATGTTGGCATTCCGGAGTCTATTCGAAGTTTTTCTTCTTTTTGAAGAGAGAAAAGAAGCGATGGAATTTTTTTGAGGATTGAGAAATGAATCTGCTTATAACGACCAGTCTTCCTGTCAATCTTTGAACCTCTTTCACATTTGATAGCTAGTCAGGGATGTCTTCGATGGCTTTAATTTTATCGGATTGACTTTGACCCCTCTTTGCTACACCAGGAATCCCAAGAACATACCGAAGCTGACTCTGAATGCACACTTCTCGGGTAAGCTTCATGTTGTGCTTCCTCAGGATGTCAAAGGTTTCTTGCAGGTGTTTAAGATGATCACCTACATTCAAAGACTTAACCAGCATATCATCTATGTAAATTTCCATGGTTTTCCCTATTTGTTTCTCAAACATTTTGTTTATGAGCTGCTGATAAGTGGGGCATGCTTTATTTAGATCTTTATAGTCTACGCACATGTGAAATTTATTATTCTTCTTTGGAACTACTACTGCGTCAGCTAGCCAGTCAAGATACTTTACTCTCATATTGGACCGATATCAAGCAAACGAGTTACCTCTTCTTTGACAAATTTGTTTTTGACCTCGGCAATAGGGCATTTTTTCTACCTCACCGGAGGGATGTTAGAATCCAGGCTCAATTTGTGCACGACCATTTCTGGATGGATAGTGCCATATCTGCATGCAACCATGCAAAACAATCAATGTTAAATTTAAGAAATTCTATTAATCCTAAATTGAGCTTGGGGTTTAATCCTGTCCCTAAGTAGAACTTCCTCTCCAAGAACTTTTCGAACAACGCGACTTGCTCAAGTTCTTCCACTGTGGATTTTGTTGCGTCCGTTTCTTCTGGTACCTGGAAACATCTTGGTACTTGATAGGATTCCGACGACTCCTCCCCCCTAGTTGACTTTGTTCGGCTCGGGAGCAGGCATCAGTTCCTATAATTGCTATGATCCATGCTCCTTCCCTTTACTACTGAAAATTGAGATTGTGTTCATCTTCCTTGCCGCCGATTGATCTCCTCTTATCTGCTTAATTTGGGAATTTTAGTAATTGATGATATGTTGACAGTACAGCCTTTATCTCATGCAACCATGGTCTCCCCGGGATAATATTATAGCCCATATCGACGTCTACTACTTCAAAAAGGGTAGTCTTCATTACCCCTTTGGCATTCGTGGGCAGCAGGATCTCTCTTCGGGTCATCACGCTTGACAAATTGAACCCGGTGAAGAGTTTTATGGTCGGGATGATACTTTCAGTCAGCTTGGCTTGTTCCAGCACTCTCCACTGGATAATACTAGCCAAACTTCCTGGGTCCACCAAAACACATTTAATTTTAAAATCTAAAACATTAATAGAGATTACCAAGACATCATTGTATAGTAGCAGTAGTCCATATGTGTCCTCCTCCGTGAAAGTAATGTCGTCCTCAGCAACTTCCCGAAGTCTCTTACTGCGGGTTGCTGACACCTTCGTCTTTTTTGCCGCCAAAAATGTCGCACCATTAATCTCGTTCCCCCCCAAAAATCATGTTGATCGTCAAGCCTAGGGGATCTTCTCCTACTTTCAAAGGTTCTACATTATCATGGTTGCAGCAGTAGTTATTTTTAGTCTGGTTGCTTAAACATTCTCTGAGATGGTCATTTTTCAGCAATGTTGCCACCTCCTCGCGCATATGCCGACAGTCCCTTGTCCGGTGACAGTTGGTTCCATGGTATTTGCACCACAAATCCGTGCTTCTTCAATGTCCCTCATCGCCGACTCCACTACGCTGACGTTAAAGTTGTATTCGAAAAGCCTGGGGTAGGAAGAATCTTGAGAACCCGATGTCTCATTGTCCTGCAATGACCTATTATTCCGACCGCGATCAGTTCTCCTATCTTTAGAGAATCTATTCGTCGACCGAAAACCTCTACCGCATCATTCAACCCGCTCATAGNAATTATGTTGATCGTCAAACAAGAAGGATTTTTTCCTGCTTTCGAAGGTTTCGTATTATCACGATTGCGACCGTAGTTATTTTTAGCTCGGTCACTTAAGAATTTTCGGAGATGGCTATTTTTCAGTAATGTCGCTACCTCCTCGTGCAAATGCTAGCAATACCCAGTCCGGTGACCGCTGATCCCATGGTATTCGCACCATAAATTAGGATCTCTCTGACTAGGATCAGATCTCATTGGTTTCGGGAATCGTGCTTCCTTAATGTTCCTCATAGCCGACACCGGTTCCAATACGCTAATGTTGAAGTTGTAATCAGAAAACCTGGGGTAGGAGGAGTCTTGGAAACCCGATAACTCTTTTGTCATGCAATGATTTGTTATTCCGGCCGTGATCAGCTCTCTTATCGGTAGCGAATCTATCAGCCGAACGAAAACCTTTGCCGCATCTTGCAGGCCTTTCATAAACTGACCTCTTGAAGACCATCGATTTGTGTCGAAATCATCCTTTGATTTCTCCTTATTCTTCTCCCGGTCCCGACTTTGGTGTTATACCCCATTTTAACACAGGTCAATTTAGAGTATAACCTATTGAAAATACCAAAGTTTATTTAATTAAAGAGAGTCTCCACCTAGATAATTCTAAGGTAAATTAGGACACCTATTATTAAAAGCTTAAGTTAAACTCTATTTCATGGTCTTAACCTAAAGATTAGGTAAGAGTTTTAAATATTTTAAAAGTAAGGTTTTTAAAGCACCTTTTAAAATCCGTTAAAAACAGTTAACTGATCAAACTTGGTTAATAAAAGTTAAATATTTTATTAAAATTTATAAGAGAATATAAATTATAATTGAATGAACAAAGTGAATAAAGTTTTAACTATGTTTTCAAGGAAAACTCATAATTAACTTGCATTTTGAAAACTATTTTCGTTTGCAATATTCGTTAAGGTCAAGAAAACATGGAAACTCTATATTAAAGAAAACTCTGCCAATTCAAAGTTAAGAGTCACATTACCCAAAACAAGAAAATTTTTATTTTGTGCCTCACACAATTGACGCTAGTTGTGTGAGGCCTTTTTTTATCTCATAACTGTGTGATTCCAGAATTTTGTGGACCCAAATATATAAGATATGGATCCATAAATGTGTGAGATAAAAAGAGGCCTCACACAACTAATGTTAGTTGTGTGAGGCACACCATAAAATTCGAACAAGCACTTCTTTAAGCCTAAAAAACGACACCCTAAGCTGCTAGGTGATTACGTTCTTAGAAGTTCTTAATTAACAAGATATTTTTTCGAAATTAGAGTTGTAAATTTAGAAGATAAAATTAATCACCAATTATAAAAATAAACTCAAATAGAACCAAATCACAAGAACTAACGAAATTTAGATAAAATGAGTAAAGATTAATGAAAGCTGCCATAGGCGACCCCAAGCAAGTTTTGCTTCTTTTCTTCTTGTCCATTAGTCTAATATATGGTGATGACTTCATGCTCGGGTGAGACTTGCATTAAGACTCATATTACTCCATGTGCATATGCAAACAAAAAAAGAAGATAAGAATTAGAAATAAAGTAGTGGCAATAAACTGAGATAGAAGAGTAGTAAACTTGAATTGGATTCTAAACTTACAGCAGGATTATTAACTCACATAAAACAAATATTTTTAAAATATTTCAGCAATCTTATACTAATACATTCATTAATCTCTAAGTTTAGGTATGTGCTCTAATCTAAATATTAAGTCTAGATAAAAAACTGTAAGGAAAATGAGTAGATAATATTGACTAAGAACAAAAAGGAAAGAAGACTAGAACTTATCAAAAATATTGTGTCGTGACAAGCCACTGCCTTGAAAGCGATTTCGGCTTAACTGGGTGCAAATCGTTAAGACCGGTCGCTCCCCAAGGTTCCACAACACCTGCAAACACGTGCACTCGTGGCTGGAAGTTTAGAATTGGCACAAAATAGTTGCCCAAAAAGAAGAGAAGATGAAGGTTTTTCTGTAGTTGTTACAGAAATTAAAATATTGTAGGAAGGAAGTAATAATTAGCAAGGTGAATTCTTGGCTAAGAATTGAGTGGATATGATGGCTAAAGATCATCCTATTTATACGCAATTAGCAAGGTTGCATGTATGCACGTACCTTGAATGTATGTATATTAGTCCACTTGGCTTCAATATTAATAAGTGTACCTAGTCTTCCATGCATGAAGACACATGATATATTTGCATAGCCATTTGTCAAAGCCATTCAACACTTGGCTTTAAGGCTTCATGCAAGATGCTACTTGAAAATAGATAGAACACTTGAATAATACCAACAATACCAATAATGTAAATAGATTTTTAAAAAGAAATTTTTGACTTTGCATTATAAATAATACCAACAATTCCCCACTAATGCAAAGACAAAAATAGAATAATTTTGGGCAAAAGAAGGAACATGTACTTAAGTGTCAATATCTTTCGATTTGAATTGACACGTAGTGAAATGAGGCAACAACTAACATCCACAAAGTGAAGTACTCTTGAACTGAATGGACATTAGTTGAGACCCCCACAACACATACTATATCCTTAATTTTATGCAAACTCCGCGATACTAACAAAGTGCTTTTATGGTCATGCACATACCTTGGTCTCATGAGTGCTCTAGAAAGACATCCCAAGCCTTTCATAAAAGGCGACCACACCTTTACACTCACGTATGTGATTCCATCAAGTCTATCTACACATAGACTACCTTAAGGCTATGGAATCATTAAGAGCAAAGTAAGCTCAACCTTATAAAACACTAGCATACACTGTGGGGATAGGAAATGTAGAGCATATTGAGGTCTTATATAGCTTCGTTTGACCACAAACGGGTATCCACCATACTTCCTCAATCCATGGGCCCCATCCTCCTCGACGTTTCAAGGATAACTCTCCTTGCCAAACCCTTGCTTAAAGGATCCGCCAAATTTCTTTCGGATCTTACATATTCCAAGGAAATAACACCATGTTTCAACAACTATTTTACCGCACCATGCCTAATGCATATATGTCTTCTTTTTCCATTCTACACACTATTTTTGGCAATTCCAATTGCCGCATATGAGTCACAATGTAGAGAAACTGGTGAATCTTGTCTTCCCCACAAAGGCACGTCTGCCAATAAGTTCTCAACCACTTGGCTTCTTGCCCTGCCAACTCAAGAGCAATGAATTCAGACTCCATAGTAGATCGTGCTATACAAGTCTATTTTGAAGACTTCCATGAAATAGCACATGCACCCAAAGTAAACATATAGCCACTAGTGGAGCTAACTTCATCATTGTTAGTAACCCAGTTTGCATCACAAAATCCTTCTAAAACAGTAGAAAATTTATTAAAATGCAAACACCAATCCATAGTACCTCTCAAATGCCTTAGCAAACGATGAAGAGCAATTAAGTGTTCACTACTGGGGTTGTGAGTATATCTACTCAATCTACTAACAGCATAAGCAATATCAGGTCGTGTATAATTCATGAGAAATATTACACTACCAATTATCTTAGCATACTCTGTTTGAGAAATACTAGGTTCGTTATTTTTTTCAAGTGTATGCTAGGATCATAAGGAGTTCTTACAGGTACTACATCAAAACAATTGAACATTTTCAACATTTTCTCAATATAATGAGACTGAGACAATGAAAACCATTAGAAGTTCTTTTGATTTTAACCCCTAAAATCACATCTGCTTCTCCAAGATCTTTCATTTCAAATTTAGAAGACAAAAAATTCTTAGTCTCATTAATGACATTCACATTAGGGCCAAAGATTAATATGTCATCCACATGCAAACATATAATAATACAATCTGATCCTATCATCTTGGAATAAACACAAGTATCAGATGCATTAACAACAAAATCATTAATCACTAATGTGCTATTAAACTTTTCGTACTATTGCTTAGGTGCCTGCTTTAGACCATACAAAGACTTTCTTAATTTGCATACTTTTTTTTCCTCCTAACCTTGGATCACAAATCCCTCAGGTTGAGACATATAGATATCTTCCTTTAAATCACCATTTAGGAAAGTCATTTTAACATCTATTTGATGTGTCACTAAATTATGAATAGCGGCCAAAGCAACAAGAGTTCTAATAGTCGCTATCTTAGTCACATAAGAATAAGTGTCAAAGTAATCAATGTCTTTCTTTTGGTTAAAACCCCTAATAACAAGTCTGGCCTTATATTTCTCAATTGTACTATCAGGTCTCGATTTCTTCTTAAATATCCACTTGCTAGTTATGGGTTTACAACCTTTGGGCAAATCAGATAAGTCCCAAGTGTGATTAGAAACTATAGAGTCTAATTCACTTTTAATGGCCTCTTTCCAAAAACTAGCATCTATTGATCTCATTGTTTCATTGTATGTCTTAGGGTCTTCTCCTATTAAATAGATTGACACTAATTCATCACTCAAAACATCAAGATCAATATTTTCAGCCAAGAAAGTTGTAATAAAGTCAGGACCAAAGCAAGCTTCAATTCTACACCTCTTACTTCTTCTAAGTTTTTTTTCATGGTCATTAACAGTAACACTTGAAGAAGGCACAATATGAGAATTAACAGACATAGATGTAGAAGCATTATTAGGCTTCTAGGCACGTTATTTTTTAATGGAAAAACATGCTAAAAAAAGTCTGCATCTCTAGATTCACAAATAGAACTATCATTCAAAGACATAAATCTATATGCAACACTATTTTAAGCATAACCAATGTAAATAGAATCAAAAGTTTTGGGTCCAAGGGTTACTTGTTTAAAATCAGGTAGACCAACCTTAGCCAAATACCCCACACTTTTAGAATTTTCAAGTTAGGGGCAAACCCTTTCCATAACTCATACGGGGTTCTATAATTTCTTGTGAGGGACTTTATTAAGAACATTCATGCAGATAAAACAGTTTTCCCCCACATATTATCAGATAAACCCGAACTCAAAAGCATAGAATTCATCATTTCCTTAAGGGTTCTATTTTTCCATTCGAGTACACCATTTTGTTGGGGAGCCATTTTTCTCACAAAAGGTTTCTAGAGTATTAGTACTATATTCACCACCTCTGTCAGACCTAAGCCTCTTGATTTTTCTGTCTAAGTGATTCTCTACTTCTGCCTTGTATTTCAGAAACATGCTTTCAGCCTCATCTTTTGACTTAAGAAGATATACCTTAGTGTATCTAGAAAAGTCATCTACAAAGGTGATGTAGTATTTCTTTCCACCCTTACTAACAATGTTCTTGAAATCTGCTAAGTCTGAATGTACTAGTTCAAGCAATTCTGTTTTTCTACTAATTACATTTTTAAAAGGCTTTTTGGTATGTTTTGCTTCTACACAAACAGGACACTTAGAAAAAATATCTACATTAAATGCAGGAATTAATTCCATTATTCTAAGTCTTTTAATAGAAGCAATATTAACATGACCTAGTCTACCATACCACAAATCAATAGACGCGGCAAGTATTATTAGTAATCTCTTGAGCGATGTTCAGTACAAATAAACCCCCACTAAGGTAACCCTTCCCAACAAAGTCTCCTCCACGAGAAATAATAAATTTATAAGATTCAAAAATAAGTTTAAGACCTGCTTTGTTGAGAAGCGCACCAAAAACTAAGTTTCTACGAAGGGAAGGTACATACAGAACATTGTTCAAGGCTAAGGTTTTTCCAGAATTTAACTTAAGGAGAATTTTTCCTTTACCTATAACTCCAGCTGTAGTAGACTTACCCATGTAGACACACTCGCTATCAACAGATTCCTCAAAGTCGTGAAACAACTCCTTATTGGCGCAAAGGTGCCTTGAAGCACCTGTGTCCAGTATCCAGTCAGTCTTGTTAGCCACCATGTTCCCCTCAACAACCACAACAGCAATGACATCACAACCCTCAGTAAGGTTAGCTTGGATTGGAGCTTTTCCTCCATTTTTTGAGCTTTGCCCTTGTCTCTGGTTGCACTGAAAAGCCTTGTGACCAATTTTGCCGCAGACATAGCAAGGTCCTTTCGACTTTTGAATATGGCTCTCTGGCTTATTGAAGTAATTCTTCTTCTTCACATGTTTTTTTTCTGGCCTTTCTTCTGTTTTCCTTTAAACCCGTCTTTCACAAAAGTACTAGAAGATTTCACAAGGTTAGCTTTGGAAGAACTAAAACAGAGAGATTTCATCTTATCCTTAGGCCGTTCAGACTCCTCATTTTTTAGACGGTTTGCTTCCTCAGTCCTCATGTGACTGATCAGTTCTTGAAGAGTTAAGTTTTTCTTCTTGTGTTTCAGTTGATTCCTGTAATCACTCTAGGAGGTGGAAACTTTTCAAGCAGAACATTAGCCTAAAGAACCTCACACATCTCCATGCCCTCGTTCAAAACATCAACAGTCAAGTTTTCATACTCGTGAACTTGTTCCATGATTGGCTTATCATCAACCATCTGAAACGTGATCCACTTTCCAACGACAGCATATGACTTTAGCAGATTTATAATTCAAAGAGAGGGTTAGTCATATGGTTAAGCAGATGTCCTCTCACTATTTTATTACCCTTTTCAAATTTCTTCTTAGCAATATTATCAGCAACAATATCAGCAGGAAGTGTTCAAAGAAAATTAAAAGTTTCTGGGACCAACGCTTATAATTGTTTCCATCTAAAGGCTCAAGATTTGAGAGATCAGGAAGTGTTTTGTTCAAAGTGGTGGCCATTAGTCAATATTATATGCGAAATCGCTTTCAAATTGTAAGGAAAATGAGTAGATAATATTGACTAAGAACAAAAAGGAAAGAAGACTACAACTTATCAAAAATATTATGTCGTGGCAAGCCACTGCCTTGAAAGCAATTTCGGCCCGACTGGGTGTAAATCATTAAGACTGATCGCTCCCCAAGATTTCACAACACCTCCAAACATGTGCACTCGTGGCTGAAAGTTTAGAATTTGCACAAAACAGTTGCCCAGAAAGGAGAGAAGATGAAGGTTTTTTCTGTAGTTGTTACAGAAATTAAAATGTTGTAGGCAGGAAGTAATGATTAGCAAGGTGAATTCTTGGTTAAGAATTGAGTGGATATGATGGCTAATGATCATCCTATTTATATGAAATTAGGGAGGTTGTATGTATGACAAGTGTGGAGAGCCTTTTAATACTTATCCAAATATATTAGTCCACTTGGCTTCAATATTAACAAGTGTACCTAGTCTTCCATGCATGAAGATACATAATACATCTGCATAGCCATTTGTCAAAGCCATTCAACACTTGGGTTTAAGGCTTCATGCAAGAAGCCACTTGAAAATAGATAGAACACTTGAAAAATAAAAAGACCCATAGCTATTGATTGTAAATAAATTTTCAAAAAGAAATTTTTGACTTTGCATTGTAAATAATACCAATAAAAACTTTCCTTGTTCATTTGAAATCTAAAGGGGAAACGGATCAATCTGGCCAACATGATTCTTAAGACTTAAGAACATGGTTTTTACATTCCATCTTAAATCTTAAAATTAGATATAAGAATCCTAGCCGCAGGCTTTCTAGTAAAATGACAAAATGGCAGTAGACTTTTAGGATCATTAATACACACGAAGACATACTTTTGTGCTATGTCCTGAAGTCTTAAAACTAGGTATTAAAATATTCTAATTGCATACTATCTGTTAACGGTGAAAGAAAATAATAGTACTAGTTTTTGAGCTAATATTAAACTAACATTTAACTGCACATGATATTTTAGGAAGCAATGGATATCTCTGAAAGAACTCCGAACTATATATTCCTACTTTCATTCCTTACTGCAGAAATTATTTTTAGCTATACAATTTTCATGCTTAATAAATGAGGGGATAAAATTGTGGTTGTGAGACTTTGAGATAATTAAAAGAAATTCTGGATCTAACTTTCCATATACATTTCTCATAGTTCATAACTAGTCCTAAGAAAACACTTTTTCTACTATACAAATAATAGCTAAGTTCAACCTTCAACTAGCAAAGGAAAAAGATTCTTATCACATGGTTTCTGCTATATAGTTAGTAACTAGAACATGATCTCTTTTATAAAATTAATTTCTTAACACACTATTTCTAAATAAAAAGCAATTAACACAGAATGACAAACTTGAGTTAACAGTTTAACAAAGCATGTCGAAAACTTAAAATCATGTTGTCTAAAATAGAAAAGAAAAAATAAAAGCGAAAGCGGACATTTTCACAAGCACACACTGAAACATGCCAAATCTAAAAGAATAAGAGGGAGAAAAATAACCGACCTTTTGTAGTGCAGCGAACTAGGGCGATTTTTAGCGGCTACTCAAATCTCCGGATTCGGATTGATGACCTAGAAACACCACCTCTATCACAGCTGAGATCGACAAAGGTAAGAGAGAGCAAATCGAAAATTCTGAGAGTATCTTAGGGGTGAAAATGAGTAAAGAACTGTAGTTTTTAGAGAGTAAGAGCGGTAGCTATCTTTTATCCGAAATTGTTATCAACACTCCTATTTATAGGAGGACGAGCTAGGGTTTGTTTGAGTGGGTTTCTTGAAAGACTAGGGTTTCAAACGGCTAAAGATTCATTTGAAATGGTGTGTGGTAAAGGACGATATGAGCAGGAGAAATAGGGATTTGGTTGCCGAAATAGTGAAAACTTGGAGAAAACAAAAAAGAGAACCTTTTTACTTTTTTTTATTGTAAATGGCAAACAAATTTGAATTCTTCGGTCAAAGTGTTTGAGTTTGCAGAGAATTTCCTTAGAATGGTCACACAAATCTTTTCTAAGAAGGGAGAAGACTTTAATTCTAGAAAGAAATCCAATCGTTGAATTAGATGCATATAAGGGCTGAGATTAATCCATATATAAGTAAATAAAAAATAATTAATTAAATAAGTGCTCGCATTTATTTTGAAATTCTCTTGAAGATAGCAGAAATAATCTTGACCATTAATTTAAAATGGACTTGATCTTATAAATCCATGTGGCAAGATGTGGGGTCAGAGTGTGAAAGGATGAGGAGGGCATGCGTTAGGAGTGTGGTTTTGGCTGTTGGGAGCCCGATGTTGGTGATATGGAGCTTATGTGGAGTCTATATAAATGAAAGAGTTAGACATATGGGTTGGCGGGTATGGGATGTTTTATCGGTTTGTTTGGTCTGATTTTCTTCTTTTTGGGTCAAGAAATCTAGAATATTTTTAAAAAGAATTACTTGCCTTCTATAGCGAAGGTTGATACTTTATTTATTTTAAATATATATCCTTTTAAAAAATTATATATCATAGCTACCTTTTAATTTTTGTAGTCAAATATTTATTTATGGTAACCTTCCACCCTTAAGTCATAAAATACGTTTTGTATTATTTTTCTCTCTCATTCTTTCAGATTTTTCTCCACCCTCTCTCAGTGCCAGTTTTCTCCATGAATACAAACTATTCTCTCTCATCAGTGTAGAGGGTGTAATCAATTGAATACGAGTCCATTTCAGTATCCCAGAGGTCAAAGTTAAAAGTTGAAACACATCATTAATACTCCCTCAGTCCACACAGTAATGGCGAGTAGCAACAGGGACAACGATTTCATAAATCCTAACACAACTTCCTTCTAGATTCTTCTCAGATCGGTAGCGCTTCTGGAAGTTTCCAGAACGAGGGTCTCTCTCCCCCTACCCCATATCTATTCTCCCTCTCCCTCTCTCTCTCTCTCTCTCTCTCTCTACTTTCCGATGTCTTTTCCTCCGCCGGACGCTGGAGCAATTGCCACCGTCACCGTTTTGACCGTGGTCGTTATTCATTGTACCGCCGCCCTCAGCCTCCCATTCTCATTCACAGTCGAATTTTAATCTTGCTGGAGAAGGAAAAGAAGTCGTGAAATTTCTCTCTCAGGACTACTGTTCGTATTTGCTAAAAGAGTACACAAAGTCGACACAGCCAAACAAAAGACAGTGAAATTGTCGCCATTTACAGACAATTGCTCTTGAAAAAGAAATGGAAGAAGGAAAGATTTTGACAGATATTTTCTCGTTGTAATAGAACTTGTATTTTCTGTTAATACATTTAAATGTATCTCGCTGTATTTCATTGTATTCATTGTCTTTTTTTTCATTGTATTTCAATGTATCTTGTTGTATTCTATGTATTTCATTGTCTTTTTTTCCATTGTATTTCAATATATCCCGATGTATTCTATGTATTTTATTGTATTCACTGTCTTGCTATATTCCATGAATGTATTCATATATTTTTTTAGTTAATATAATTTATATATTATATAATTTCTCTAAAGATTGCTATATTTTTGAGGTATTTTTCGGTTGAGAATCTTTTTTATAACTGAAAATACAAAATTTGTGTGTTATAATTGAGTTTGTTGAGTTATATTAGGAGTCTATTATGTTAATTGATTCACTTTTCGTTTAAAAACAGTGTAATCCCCTATTTCACGCCATGAATACAGTCGAATACAATAATCTATTCAACTGTAATCCTATGTCCATGCCATGAATACAATCGAATACACTCGAATACAAAAATCTCTCTAGCTGTAATCCCCTGTTTCACGCCTAGAAATGCTACTGTACAGTAGCTTAAATACATCGAATACACTCTACAAATCTGAAAATATAGCTATAGAAAATAATATAGTAAATGGTAACTACAACTAGCTANTCCTATCCCTGTACTGTTCCACCATCCTCCTAATAAGGTGGATAGCTTCGGTGGTAGATCGCCCCGGCATGAACCCGAACTAGTTGTCTGAAATAGACACTATCCTTCGCACTCTCAT